ACATATACCGCTTTTCATTCTTACAATGAACACTGCCGCCCCGGGTAGGGAGTGGGCGCCTGGGTGGACTGGTCCGTGCCTGCGAGAGTGGGAGCTCAGGATCACGGAGGGGCTGGGAAGTCAGGCGGGTGCGGAGAGCGGGGGCTGCTCCTCCAGCCTCGCCCGACAAAGTCTCAGGTCGCAGCCTTAGGGTAGAGGCCCGCCTGTGCCCTGAGCAGCTGGCAGGAGAGGCAGTGCCAAGGCCCGGTCCAGTGTGGCCACTGAACATTTGGTGCGAATCAAAGGCTTTTTCCAGCCAGGAGAGGAATGCTGCCGAGCGGGGTTTGGGAACAGGCCTGGCAGGGCAAACACTGCCCTAATTGAGGCCCTTCTAGACTTTTAATTACAAGCAGTGTTTTCCCAAGCTTCCTAAATTGACCGTGGAGACCCGCTGGTGTTATTGCCCATGCCAGGGACAGGGAAAAAAAAATGTTGTTAAAGCTTTTTCAGCAAGGTTTATTTTAGCCATGTTTTGAGGTGGAAGAGCTCACACCAGTGGAAGCCAGAGCCATTTTTCTCAGAAGGCCTCCTCCAGACACGGAGAGACGAACGCCCACAGGTGTGATCAGACACTCAGATAGAACACGCAAACACAGACAGACACCTGTAGAGAAAGACACAGGTACAGACAGACGCGGTCATGGGGACGCGGCTGCAGATGCTGTAAACACAAGGCTGGAAATCCAACCCAAGCACCCGGAGCATTTGAGAAAGAAAACATTGTTCCTGGCTCCGCCCGATCCATACCTCCGCCTCCATCTCCTCCCAACCTGCAGGCTGGCTGGGCCTGGGCCTGCTTCAGTGCCCCTATCCCCTTCGCAAGGCCTGTTTCCAAGGCCCAGGACAGACTGCAAACCCTCAGCTGGGTGTTCCTTATGCCAGAGACACCTTTGTCCTGCTCTTGTCCCAGGCCCCAGGGAACGTGCCTGTCTGGGAAGGAAGGCCGTGTTCTTGTCTGTGGAAAAGAGGACACAACATCAACACCCCAGCTGAATTCTTGGGGCGTCTTCCAAGAGAAACATCCATAGGGTTCTGGAGGCAGCCGGTCCAGGTTATAGATGCAGAAAACAGAGGTGCCGCTGGACACACGAGTGCTGAGCTCTGCTTATGTCCAAGCATCCCCTGGATTCCAGGACTCTTTTCAGGCAACAAAATCTGGATCCCCATGGCTGGGGCCCCAGGAGTCTGCATTTTATACCATTGCTCACCACGGTATCTTGAACACTGGAAGTAATCAGTCTGTTTGCTGAGTCGGTGAATGGCTAATGCTGGGCTCTGGGGGCCCCTGACAGCTCTGAAGGACACAGTACGTTCCCCACTACGTGGGTGATCTGAGAGAGAAGCCCCCAAGGACCCCTGCCACCTTCTTCCCGTTCCCTTCCCTTCCATGCTGTGGCTCTGGACACCCAGGCAGGCTCTAGAATCCCTTCCTAGTGTTCAGCTACGAGCGCAGGCATGGTGCACAGTAGAAATGGGCAAGGGGAGGGCTCCTAAATGGGAGGGAGGCCAGAGACAACTATGCCTGTCATCTTGCCAAGGGTCCCCTTGGGCTGGGGAGCGCCTGGACAGGGCAGGAGGCCAGAGGCCAGGAGCAGAGGGAGGCCCTTTAGCTGGCGCTTGGGCGGGGTGAGCCTCAGTGGCCGTTACAGGCCGTTGCTATCATCCCTTATCTGGGGCTCCTGGCTCTTACACCACGTCCCCAACCACCCCTGGAGTCGGGGGCCCCTGCTGCTCCCTCCCCAAACAGACCGTTACTGGGTTTCCGTTGTTTGGGGGGGGGGTGAGGAGCTGTCTGCTTAATTAATCATTTTAGGCCACCCTGGGAAACTCATTAAGCCACCTCAGGGCTTGGAGCAGGAACGCTGCTCTCAAAAGTTGGAACTTTCTGATCTGCCCCATTGGGGTCCACTTTCCTTTCCACTCATGTGCACACACGTGCATGAGAGCGCCTGTGTGCACGTGTGAATGTGTGTGTGAGAGAGAGAGCCAGCGTGCCCTGGTATCCACGATTGTGTGTGTGTTTGCGTTTCCTAGATTCTACAAGGAACTTCCCCTGATTCTTCTTAATTACCAGCCAAGAAGAAATTCAAGATGCTGAGAGCAAAGGTCAAACTCCACCTGTTTTCCCTGCACTTCATTTTCTGGCAGTTCCCACAATAGTACAGATAAGTAAAAGATTAAGGCAATCTTTTCTAATTAAAGTAATTAAAAAACGGCGATGATTGCACCTTTCATCTGAAAGGGAAAATATTTACTCATCCAAACTGCAGGCCCTTAAAAGCATTCAGGAGGTCTATTTTGACAAACGGATCCTCCTCCCCTCCCCCAGCCCATTCTCTCTCCTCCGGGACACACACACACACACACACACACAAAGGCAGGTTTATTTAACAAGAGGTGGCCTGACAGGGGCATCCTAAAAGCTGGGCAGGAGGATGGGAGCCTGTAGCAAGTTTAGAGCAAGTGGACAGTTCAGCTGAATCCTTGCCAGGCTCTGCAGGGATTTCAGGGCTATAGGGGTTTTGATTTGACGAATCGATATTTTACTGTTGTACCTTCTTCCCCCAGGGGCACCCCCCAAGGGCCCCCTGACTCCCTCTGAACAGCTCTCCTCTCTTTTGGCCTCTTCCCTCTGAACTAGCTGGCATGAAGAGCTCAAAATGAAAGACTGGATGTAGCCTGTGCATCTGCCCATCTTTCCATCTTTGTGATCAACATGCCAGAATTAAGTTGCCTCTGTGCTTGACATCAACGCTGAAGGGGCCCTTTGGGGCTGTGTGACATGGCCCCTGCCCTCAAGAAGCACATCTAATAACCTTTTAAGTGAAAAGCAAACTGCCCTTGGCTCCCCCAGGAGAAATCAAACAGAATGCAGGCTGCAGCATTTTACTTTGAGTTTTTGAGGCAAGTATACTCACCTAGTTTCCTGGTGAGTGGAGTTTGATCTCAAAAATTGCAATGTTTCCCTGGCTAGGGAGTCCTTCCTGTGACACGTGGCACTGGGGACAGAGGTGCCCTGACATCCCAAGGGCCAGGACTCTAGGGGCTGGGGTCTTTGGGGGAGTAGGAGATATGACCGCCTCCGTCCTGTGACCTGAAGTTGACCCAATCTCTGCCCCATACCGCCCTCCTCCTCGTCCGCACTGCCAGGAGACAGGACATGCTTTGGAGCTGGTGCAGCTAGAGTTTACACCAGCCGTGATGGGATAATCCCACTTAGAGGCTGTTTCTGAATCCTCAGAATATGACATGAAGAAAAATTCTGGGGTCCAGCTCCAGGAACGTCCGGGCCCAGCTGTCCCCTGAGAAGGTCCTGGTGGCCTCTGCCTGTCCAGGCGGGGCTAGACAGTGTCCTCAGCATGACCCATAGCCCTCAGCTGTCCTCCCTGCAGAGGCATGGCTTCAAGGAGCCAGCGTGGGCAGATCCGTTTCTGCAGGGAGCCTGCAGTCCAGGAGGGCTGGGTGAGGAAAGTGGATGACATCTGTGCATGTGTGCGCATGTGCGTGCCATGTGTCCATCCTGTTTGTGGATAGTTTTACTTGGTATCCAGAACGGACTCACCAGAGACTGGGTCCAAGCCTAGAGGGTTCTCCCTGTCCCACAAGCTCACTCAGTGTCAACCATCTTTGGACTCTGGACTCTGGCAACAACATCTCAAAACCTCGCTCTTTTCTGGTCTTGCCTGGAGTGACAGCTCTCATTGTACTTCTCTGCGTGGTCACTGGAAATGGCTTCCTCCTTCTGGGAAGCAGATTCACCAGCACATCTAAAGCAGAGGGTTCCTGCAGCCCACCTAACATCTCAGGGGGCTTGATTCAGGCCTGATCCCAGCTGCTGGTCCCAGGCATCAGGGGAGCCTGTGAGATGCTGTGAAAGCTGCAGGTTCTCTCTCCGGGGTACTGTTGACCTAAATGTGCCCATGTGTCCACCACACAAAGGTGCAGGGATCCTGGGTGCCCGTACCCAGAGCCCAGGTTGGGAGCTTTGGTCCCTCCCACAGGCCCAGCTGCCAGCTTTGTCTCCAGGCTGCTCTCACCTTGTCCTCCTTCTAACCTCAGCCTAACCCTTCCCAGGAGCTGCAGTGCCAGCCCCTTGGCCGAGAGCCTGAACTGGGCAGGTGGCCCTCAGTGGCCAGGCTCCATCCGTTGAATTGTGTTTGACCAGCCTACGCATCTGGTGATGAACTTGCTGGGTGGAAACAGTCCCTGGGGGACTGGAATCCTTGTTGCAAAAATAAATTTTCCCTCAAAACCTAGCTTTTCTTATCTTGCTTTTTCTGCATTCAGGGTTTTTTTCTTTCTTTGTTTCTTTTCTTCTTCTTCTTCTTTTTTTTTTTTTTTTTTTTTTGGTCTTCTGTCTTTCTAGTATCCCAACCCACTTTTATCTTCTTCCTTTCCTCCCACTGAGACCCAAACAAACATCTTGGTAAACAGACTCTCAGGCCACACTTTTAAAGAGACAGCGCATGCAGCCCACTCTGTAAGAGACGCAGGACGAGATGGGCTGGGATCACTATGGGACACTCACAGGAAGAAGCTGACTTTAAGCCCTTTACAAAAAATTGCCTAGGAGATGCCTCTTCTTTCCCACGCCTCACTGGCAGACACAGACCAGGAGGAAATAGTTTGGGGTCTCATTGTAGCAGAGGTCTCCTTGAGTGGGACTGGTGAGGTTTGACTATAAGGCTGTTATTTTCTGTATATGATCTGAAAAGTATTCCTTTTCAGATTCCTTTCAAGTGTGCTTTTAAAAATACATATTTTCATTTCAAATCCCCCCACCCACCAGCATCAAACAAACACATCTCTGAAATGTTCATATCAAACGAAGAGAAAATGTGATCAGAGGGACAAACCTAGTTTGCACAGAACTTGCCTGGAACTTGGCTACTTTGTGACTTGAGGAGGCTCTGGTTTTAAATTGTTATCATTTATGTATTGCTGGGTTGGTGCACTGAAGTCACTGTGGGGTGGGGGGAGCATGTGCGTGTGATTGTGTGTGGACTGGCATGTGCATGAGTCTACATGGGTACCAGATTGCTGCCTCGAGGGTCTCTGCCCTGAACAGGGATCTCCCCGGCACTGGGGATGTGGACAAGCTGAGGTCACTTCCCACCTGAGTTGTCAGGACTGTGAAAGGACTGGCAGTTCTTGGAGGAGGGGGCTGTGCTGTTTCCATCCCCTAAGTGGCCCAGCAGCCCAGGGAGGAAGGTGTCTCCCAGGCCCAGTGCAGCAGGCTGGGGGGGTGGGGGGGCTGAGAGCCTGCATTTGTAACAGCTCCCTGGCCAGGCTGAGCTGCTGGTCCCAGCCCACATCTGAGTAGCAGGCCCAGAGAGGTGGCAGTGGTCCTGCAGGGCCCCTTGTGCCCTCTCCTCACCCCCTGCTTCGAGGGCTGGCCTCCACCCAGCACTGGCACTGCCATCAAGGCCCAGCTACTGACACTCCTAAACCATAGACCTCTGTGGAACAAAGCCCAACTAAGGTGGCTTTTCCCCTTTAAGAGGATACATTCCTCAGCGGACGGTTGCCCCCAGGCCTCTCTCCCACTCCCACTTGGAAGCTAGGCAGAAAAACTGCCTGATGGGCAGGATTATGGGATTAGTCAACTTTCCCAAAACAGGCCCAGAGGCTCTGGGTCCGAAATGAGTTTTGGTCTGAGCCTTTCCCTGTGATTAGTGACAGATGTGTCCGTCGGTCGGCCCACCCTCCTCCCTCTCCCAGCCTTGCCTCTTCCCTTTGTGCTAGTAACTCACTCTGTTACCTTAATCACAGGCCCCAGAAATTTGGGGGAAACATGCTTCAGTGAAAACAGGCCCTATGGTTCAGTGGCCCAGGGCTCAGGAGGCAAGTATTACCTATGGAACCAAAGGTCTGGCTATGCCAACCGGAGAGCGGCCCCCTTGAAGCCACCCAGAGGGGCCCAAGGGGCCTGTTAGGCTGTGATAGTCTGTGTCTGTTTCACTTCTGTCTCAGATTCCTGTCCCCGCTCACCGTCCCCTCTGTTTCTGGGCCCAGCCCCCAGGTCCCCCTGCACTCTAGGACAGGCTGGGCGGCCTGGCCCTCCTGAACCTGGGCCTGCCCTGCAGTCTCCATTTGTGAGCTGGCCTGTGCCAGTTCCAGAGCTGGTGTTTCCCAGGAAACCAGCTACTGAAGACCGCTCAGCTGAGGCCACCATGCTGGGACAGTCAGAAGTCTGAGGATGCTCCTGTGGACAGATTTGGGCTTGAATCTAAGTCAGGGAGGGAAGCCTCTTACTGCCCTCCGTGGATCCAGAGGCCTCATCTGCACTTGGAGGTTCCTCGCAGAGAAAGCGTGCACTCACAGCTGGTGTCCCTAAGGGGCCTCTCCTTAGGGCTTTTTTCTCTGTGTGCAGGCTGGCGGCAAGGAAGTAACATTTGTTCTAATCATAACGCCTGTGATCCTGGAGTTAGCATCGCCCTCCTTTTAGCTCTTTGCCCCTTCCAAATCTCTTGGTGGAGCTGACCTGATAGTCTGTCTGGAAATGAGGCTCTGCTGCCATGTGATGGCCACTGGGACTGACTGAACTTGGCTCCTCTGGGCTGTTATATCCCAGGCCACACCCAGAATCCAGAGTCCTGGGCCCAGGCCAGATTCCAGATCATGGGAGGACCAAGCTCTGAGTTCAGGCAGAGCCCAGAGCTCTCATGACGCCAACTTCAGGCCAGGCTGGAACTGGGGACGAGGGCTGAGCCCTCAGTCTCTCTCAAGGGAAGGGCTGGTCCTGCTTTCAAGGGTATAACATAACCTGCGAAGTAACTAGTTCTTTGGGGTAAAAGAAATAAGGCTCATTAAATATTAGAGCTGGACGGAAATGTGCAGATATTCTAACTTTAGCTGGCATCAGAATCACCTGGAAGCCTTGCTAAAACACAGATTTCTGAGTCCAAACCGAGAGATTCTGTTTCAGTAGGGGTGGGGCCTGAGAACTTGTTTTTCTAACAAGTTCTCGAGTGATGCTCGTGCTGAAGGGGACACGTTTTGAGAAGCATGGTACCAGCCCTCCTCTCTCACTTTACAATGTAGACACCAAGGCCTG